GAGATTATAATTTTTTGTGTCTTTTCGGCTTATTTAAGTATTGAATTTCAGACATTCCAATTTTACCATCCGGATCTTTGCATCTCAACGATTTTGATTTCAATATTGTGATTCTCAAGATTGCAAGTATTCTCGAAAAATCTATGATTCTCATGATGACAAATGGTGTTGTTATTTTTTCCGTAATTTTCCACGCCATTCTCATTCCAATCTTTCCTCAAGCTGAACGACGCGGCCGCGAGAATATATTTCGGATACGTTATCTCACTCTTCTCATACAAGTCGCCTCCGAACGGCCCTCCCGTTAAGTTTGTTTATCTCCTTGTTTATCTTTTCGTTGGGTGAAAGGACGATGGTTAGGGACCGGTGAACGAAACTGACCCGCCACTCGAGGCGGTTATCCTAGTTCGTGGACGAGACGTTTGGCGAGGTGAGCTTTGGTCATTGCCGGCTCGACGTGATGTTATTCTGGGCTCCCACTTGGCTATATTTAGACGAGACCACCTTGAGGGAGCTTAAGACTCGAGAGCTCTTTCTCTCTCTCTCTTTCTCTTTCTATCTCTCTCCGTGGCACAACGAGCTGGTTTTATTTACCGGCCGATTGTGTCTGGTTGTGCAACGACTGCTCGAAAAACAATCGTGGAAATCCTCTTTCGTCAGATGGAATTGCGGACGGCTTTGCATCCTTCATTGCAGTGATCGACGTGCCGATTCGCCGCAGCCGTCGCGTCGCTTTTCGCCCTTCGCGTTAAATAATCGTTGGTTCAACATAGCGCAACGGCGTCCGCAGCCTTCGCTACAAATTTGCTTGAACGGCTAGTTAACATAACGATGATCTTTCCGTGACGAGATACGAATAGAATTCCTGATGTTAATTTTCCTGACATGCGGTTTCGAGGAGATTTAGGATTCGCGGGAACGCGTCTGGAATTCTTTTTCGGTCGATTTTACCAACGAGCGTCTTCCTTGTGCGAACTTACGGCGGTGACAACTACTTGGCTGGATCTCACGGCACGTTTCTCGGAAAATCATTTCGGGTTTGTGTGTCGACGTCCTTCGATTATACCGCGACACATTACCTACAGCCTCGTTCTAATTCCGCAGCTTTTTGTCACGAAATGAATTTTTTTTTAACGGCACGCCGATTTGTATTAATTGCAACCGCGGTATAGCGCCTTGGCATTCGCGTTCAAAAAAGAAAAAAAATGAAAGAAACAATTGCGGAAGACCTCGTTCGTAGCGGCTGGATGACTTTAACGATCTCTCGATTTGCATCATAGATTTCTCGCCGCGGCAAATAAGAGCAACCGCTTGCCGATCTTTCGAAATGCGTACTCGAGACGACAATACGCGATCTCTGGTGTTATAAATAACGCAACGTACACAATGTGTTAATTTGTTATCTCGAGATACATGTCGAGTCACGCATAAAAATCACGAATGAATGTCGATTGCGATTCCTTTTATACACAACTTCTCGACGTTGATCGATTTAAGTAGCGCGTAAAAAAAACATTGTGTAAAATTTTATAGCAAATCCAGTCTAAAACTGAAAAATAAGTGTCCTTTTTGAACGAATATACAAGGAATAACCAATTATCATTTGTATCGTTTATATCGTTTTGCTTTTTGAGAACAAAGTATTTCGTTAGCTATTATCAAAATGTTGTAAATGTTACTACAAAATAATATCATAAGCTCTTAGATTATCGGCGGATGTCGCATCGGTATATTGGCATTCGTGTCATTTAAACCGTTTCATAAATCAATGAATGACGTGGCGCGCCTTAACTTGTATGCATTTCACGTAATCGACATGTGTTTAGTGTATTCTTCAGTCGCATATAAATCAACTCACATTACGTCTCCATCCTGCAGGATGAAACGGAAATGAAATCTTCCTGAAGAGGAAGAGCCGCGAAAAAGCAACATACTTGTCGGAATATAAAGTTACATTATTTTTCGCACTTTCACATCGTACGTGTATAATTGAAGAGCTAATTAATGATTTCTACTAAAATGATGGGTAACGAGGCTTCTCATGTTCTCATAGCTTTACACAATAAGATTACATGTGCATAGGTTATATATTGAGAGAATGTGTACATTCTTTTTTTTTTTTTTTTTTTTTGAAAAAGGTGCATGCGTATGATGTTATTTAGAAATAACTTTTACTTTATAGAAACTCTTATGATCGAAATGAGTTGTCTCGAACTTGAAGGATGCAGGCAGCAAGAAAATTGCTTCCTAGAATTCGTGAATATAAAAAGAACAGATCGATGATCGCGTCCAGTTAATAACGGCTATTAACTCTTGACTGTCGACGCCAAATACAAGGTATCCTGATCTCACTAAACTAAATTATCCGCGAATGACACATCCTCTTCGACAAACATGGAATTTATTTTACAAAATTTAACACAAGACTAACATTCAGTATCATAAACATTACAAGTTCTAAAAAAATACAATTTAAAAAATAAAAAAAGATAGATCTTGATCATATTAGACTATAACGTTTTTAAACTCTCTCAATACAATCTAAAAAATTAGGACTCTCAACTTCTTGTTGAAATATTTAAATTTCAAGTTTTCCGCGATGAACAACTTAATAACGAACAAACATATTCTTGATAATAAATTAACGATACTTTACGACGTTTAAGTTTAGGTGTTTGTAAACACCTTATGATTAAGAATGAAATTTCTTCGATAAACCAATCATTCTGGATGGTATAAATCATATAGTAGTATGATGTAAATAGATTCGTTACTTCTAAGTTTTATGACGAAACATCCAATGAATGATGAAGAGTATTCGATATGTATCTGAATATTTCCAACCAATGTAATAAATTCCTTTATAATTGTGAATCTGCGTTAATAGCTATAATCGTTCGGTAATTTTTTCCATCATTATTTACTCGGCCGGAAGAATCAATGATGATAGAGCGGATCGTTTCGCCGGATAAATCATGTGATATTAATACACACGCATTCAAGTTATTTCAGTTGTATTATCGCCGAAAGTGTTTCGTAAATTTATTTCAGATTAATATATTTTCGGTTAATTAAAGTGCGTATCGCGTAACCTTTGGCAATATGTCGGTATTGAATAGCTTAAAATGTTGATTGTACTTATCTCGATGGTCTCGATAATTTTGAAATAAAAACATTTAATAACGATTAACTGAATCGCAAAACGGCGACGATGACGACGAACGATTTTGCTTTTGCGGAATCGTCAGTTTCCTGTGTGGCAAAGGTCACGATCGACAGGCATGGAGTGCGGATCGTGGCACGTTTCGAGGTCACCGATGGAACATCTTTAGGCCGTTCAGTATCGTAAATCGTGTCACGCTATTATATAGAGGATATAAAAAACAGTGCAACATGCCGCAATAACTTTCCTATGCTTAACCCAAAAAATAGTCATCTAGAAATGACTTTTAATCTGACTTTTATATCTATTAATAAAAAAATTAAGTCGCAGAAGTTTTTTTACTGCTCGAGAATTTATACTTATTTTTCTATTTCTTAACTTTTTTAAGAAAATTTTATTAAATAAATTTTATAATAACTTGAAATAATTAATAAATTGTAAAACAATTAGTAATATACAATATGTTGTTAATAATAGTGATTTTTTGGGGCATAACAATCAGATCATAATAAAAATTTAGATAACTATTAAAAGGATTAAAAGCGCAAAAAGAAAAAACTTTCTTTTAATTCGAAATATTCATCTCGGATTAAATTACAAGAAAGAGATTGAAGAAATAAAAAAATGTAAAATTAAGTCCGTAATTTTCATTTTTCTTCACGACAAATCTTTTGCACCTCCGGCAAATCTTCGTTTCAGATCCATGTTCCGATGACTGCGCGAGCTCTTTTTTCGGCTCTTACGACCAAGGCGTCGACAGACGGAGAGGTCGATATTTAAAACTGTAGGAACTATATTTAGACAGTATCTATATTCATCGGCGACGTGTCTATACATAGAGCACCGGTGTATTTACTAACCCGTGCGGCATCGTGTGGGAAGTCTGGGTGTCAGAAGTTGAAGCGTGCGTTATAATCGGCGAGACGGCGCGATCAGGCACGTACCCGGGACTCCCTAGGGTCTTTTTATCGTATTGCGTATATTGTGCAGGTTTTCGTATCTTCGCATTTCGATACGACGACCGACGTTTTACAACGTTCGACGGACTATCATCTGCACCATGTAATTCATTCCGATCAGGCGTCGACTACGAAACGCAAAGCGACGTTTGATGAATACGTATCTCTCGTCACGCATTATCATCCTCGTAAAAAATGGATCGCAAAAAGAGAGATAAAAATTAAAATACCATATTGATTAATACTGCACAGAAGAATAATAACGTAACAAATAAGATTTCATTAAAGAAGATAGAGCATTCCTTGTATCATGCAATTTTGATGGACAGATTATTATCTAAAAATCCACGCACTCGCACAAAGCGGAAAACGTGTAGAAAGTTTCGAGACACGAAGTACAAGCGTACATATAGATTTGATCAAAATCGCGAGCTGAAGGCATTAATGCAGCCCTGAATCAGGGTTCAAACGTAGTAGTAGTGGTAGTAGTAGTGTAGTAAAGAGGGAGAGGGGAGGGGAACACGCAGTCTTCTCACACGTGCACGTAGAGAAGGCAGCAATCCGCACGCACGCAACGCATAACCATGCCATGCGCACACTGTGAGGCCGATGCCTTCATTTCTTCATAAATCAACAGCCTCTCTATTTATAGCCCACGCCGGACAAATAGCGATAGTTTACACGCGACGTCAGCTGCCTCGAAGACGTCAAAAGAAGCGCCGCTTGGGAATGGTAACGTGGGAGAGGAACGAAAAATTTAGGCATGACGATTATCCCAATGACCGAAATCTTGGCTCTCTCGCGGCGCGGCGCGGCGCGGCGGGAGCACGTGCGCGAAACTTTCGGAGATATACGGAGATTCCGTACGACGGTATACGACTCTGTCACGAGGCCACGTTTCCGAGGAAAGTGGACTCTAGAAAGTTCTGCGTTGCGAGTTATTTGCGTCTCCCGACAGGAGATTCGTTGGGTAATTCTCCTGACGATAGCAGGTGCGCAATCGTGCGCCGTATCGAACACATTCTTTTAGCAGTTTCTTTCAGTATCGCGTATTACTAAGCCGAATTTAAGTAATTTCTTTGACTCACGTTTAACGTTATATACATATTTATTTTAACATTTTTCAGAGTTATTTTTATATTTCAAATTTGGTTAGAGCAATTAAAGTTATATCCTTCGTTAAGGATTAGAGAAAAATATAGATGCAGTTTACGTTAATGTATAGAGAAGAAATTAAATGTTTGTTCTCAATATTTACTTTGGGACGTATTTCAATATTGCAAACTTTCAGCGCGATTTTCATGGGGTGCAAAAAAGAAAGACAGAAAATCCTGACTCCTTCCAAAAAGTTGCTGCAAACGATGCATCGCGACGTTCCGCGATCGCGATGCGTCGTGATCGTCGCGCAGCGCAGCCGTAGCGTAGAGGTCCGGTGACGGTCCCGTGGAAGAACGGCGAGGGCGATCGTACGGGATATCTCGTGGCATGGGACGGGATATATACGCCATGGGAACGCTGTAATGTTACGGGCTGGCTGCTGATGCTGCCGCGCTGCCGCTGCACCGCATCGCGGCTCTCGGCTCGGCTCGTTCACTCCGTTCGCTCACTCGCTTGCCTGCTTGCTTACTCGCTTGTTCGTTCGCTCGCTCGCTCGCTCGCTCGTTCGTTCGTTCGGTCGGTCTGTCGCGCTCGGCGAAGTAATAGCCCGGGCTAAATATAGCCAGCGATAAACACAGGCAGTTAGTGAGCCGCGTGCGCCGTGTAGCGCCGCGACGATATCCTTGGATATACACGAACGAGACGACGGCGTACAAACCGAACAAATGCGCGGCGCGGCGACTTGTGTCTCGATACGCCGTGTGCCGTGTGTACCTAATACTCGGCTGGCCCATTCGCCAATGCGCTCCTCTCTGATGCACCTCTCTGGTACTTTCAACCGCTTAACACGCGTTCGTGCGATGCACGTCGTGCTTGCGCGACTCACGGCAACATTAAATGTTGATCTTGAAAACTTGAGTTCAATAAATTCTTCGACCTTCATCCCCCGCTCTATTGTTTTATTTTTGTCTTTGGTTTAAAAGCTGCGAACTTTTATTCTCCAGGGGTGATTATATCCTGTTTTTAAAGAGACAAAAAAAAACTCGATTTTTTAGGACAAACACCGATCATGATTACGCTGAGATTGCGATATCCAGCGTAATCATGATCGGTGCAAATTTTCGTATGCGCGAAACGGTATCTTACGTAAGCAATTGAACGATTAGAGACAAAGCATATCTGCAGCAACTGCACAAGTTAACCCACAAAAAGCATATTGATACTTTGTGAATGTCCTGCACGGACTCTAAGATACATTTCAAAAATTCTGTATAATTGGCATGACGTGTTTGCGTTTCAAAACAACGTCTGACTTCAAATTAAAATAGCAAATATCCACGGTCCCCCTTACATTTCTCTTTATTTACGATTCTAATAAATCTATCTCCATAAATTTTTCAAAATTTTAAACTAAAACTTTAGTAAAAATTTTATTGAATACTATCCTTTCCGTATATTTTCAACACTTGTTCTTACATTATTTATAACTAATCTTCAGTGCAAAATTAATAAATTCATTATGTATTAAGCTTCAAAATTTAATGTTTAAAAAGATTTTCGATAAAATCGTTTTTGTTAACAATTAAAAAATTATTAAAGTTTTATGTAATTTATTTATTAAAAGAAGATCAATTCTGTATTCATCAACAATGTCTAATCGAAATAAATTTAGAACATCCTACTTAAATAATTCTATATATATTTTTTTAATGCGCATTTATACATTTCATAAATTTTATCTCAAAGGTAGACAAAGTTTATGCAAAATAAAATTAATTTCTAATATTTTCTAGGATGCACAAATTCGTCTGAAATAATATTGTGAAAGAAAAAGATAATCAGAACGTTATACATTATAATAATTAAATAATATCTGACTGAACAGCTTCGCGTGATGTATCACGAAGCCGTAGGTTTTCACGCGCCTGAGAAAAATTGCATATTTATGCTGCATAATATCGTTGCTGCTCGGATGATTTATCCATAATTAAAACACAAGTATGGAAATTTCTACAGCTGTCATCGCGACACTCTCGCGTCACGATCCAGCACCGATTTACGCCGATTTAAGTGAAATATTAATCGTAATTACGCGTTTGTTCATTTCGAATCGAAACGAGACGTTATTTATCGTATATGATACATAATGCCTATAGGGCTGACGCTTACTTTCTCGTTCGGGCGGTTTTCTATTAGCATGAGAGACGTGCTTTACAACCGATCGAAAACGCACGATAATCTTATTCGACGCGGTGCGACCGCGTTGATAAATTATCCGGC